CTCTGAGGCCACAAAGTCCAAGCGTGCCTGGCCGCGTCGCTGCAACTCTCGTAGGAGGAATCACCTCACGTCAATATGCTTAACTCTGCTCTCCAGTCGAGGCTCTCGACACAGGAGGATCATGGTCTTGTTGTCAGCGTACAAGGTCGGTGCAGAGCGAGGCCGCTCACAAAGGTTGGTGAGCAAGAAGGTCAACCAGCGAAGCTCCTGTGCCGCCATGGCACCAGCATAGATCTCGGCCTCTGCACTAGACAAAGCCACAGACGACGACCGTGTAGACCTCCACGACACAGCACCAGCACCCAGAATGAAACAGTAACCCTGAGTCGAGCGCTGAGTCTCCACATCGTCAGCGTAGGAAGAGTCGGAGTGACCGGTCAACACAACTAACTGTGTCCCTCCAAGCACAAGTCCCATGCCTGATGTTGTCGCCAGGTACTTCGCCACCCTCACAGCAGCTGTCCAGTGGACAAGACGGTGTCTCCCAGTCGCAACAAAGCGAGAGGGGACGCTGAGGGGAAAGGCGAGGTCCGGTCGAGTACAAGTCATCAAATACATGAGGAAGCCCACAAGCTCTGCGTAGGGGCAACTAGACTCAAAGGGCTCGTCAGAAAAAGGGCCAGTGAGTCGGTGGTCAACGGCAAGAGGAGTGGGCTGTGTGGTGGAGAACTGAAACCCAAACCGTCGAAGGACTCGGTGCACCATGTGTGACTGAGTCAGTGTGATGGTGCGAGCGGCTTTGTCCCTGATGATCTGCAGGCCAAGGTAGCGCTGCAGTTCACCGAGGTCAATGCACTTGTGTCTCTTCTGCAGTTCAGATTTCACCTCAGTCAAAGCTGCCCTGTCTGCTGTAACAAAGACCAAGTCGTTGACGTACACTAGTATAAAGAAAGGAGTGGAACCCGTACGAACAAACAACGACGGGTCGGTAGAGGAAGGACGAAGCCTAAGGTTATGAAGCGTGGAGCGAAGAGTGTCGTGCCACTCACGGGGCGACTGGCGAAGACCGTAGACTGGCCGCCTCAGGCTCCACTGGGTCCCAGGTGGGAAAATGTCAGTGAAGCCAGGAGGACGGCGCAGCCAGGAGGACGGCGCAGCCAGATTTTCTCGTGTTGTCAAGGGAGTGCAGCTCGTAGTCTCGCTGTGCAGCTACGTGCAGTAAAACCCGAAGAGTAGTCATCTTCGGGGTCGGGGCGAAGGTCTGGAAGAAGTCAACTCCCTCACGCTGACTGAAACCCCTAGCCACGTAGCTCGCCTTGAACACAGGCGGTGAACCAGGCGGCCGCTTCACCTTGAAGAGCCACATGCCATCGACAATGTTCGCCCTGGGAGGGGGAACTGCGTCGACGTACGTGCATGTGGATCTCCAAGACGCTAGCTCTGATACCATCTCAAAGTAGGAACACAACGGAATATGTGAACTAGGGAAACAAGGGATTCAAATAGCAACCCTAAAAGTGTTGTACTCTCTAGAGTGCTACTCAGTGTTGCCTAAGAACCTATAATAACATTTGACAGGGGAGTAGTTGTCTAGAATGACTAGGGAGGACCGTTTCCGATGTGGCCGAGGGATGGGGGCATGGTACCAGACGTCCATGTGCAAGGTCTGAAGAGGCGCAGTGGTAGGAGGAAGCAATGAGTGAGGGGCGGCACGTTGCCTGCCCTCAGCGCAAGGGGGAACACATCGTCGCAGACGAGGGAGGGAGAGTGGCGAGCGACGACGTGACCGTGACGAGGCCGCTAAGAGGGGGGAGGGGGGCATGACGGAGGCCACTAAAGGGGGGCTCGATAAGTGGGGCCACGACAGGAGTCGCTAGGTGGGGGTCTTTAAAGGGGAGACGTGAGGACATGTGGTAGCTAGAGCTACAAAATTCATATAAAAAAACAGAACAAATATTGGATAGTATAGTAATGCTAATTGTATTTTTGTTGCTGGAAATAGGTGGGGAGGGAGTTAGCATGAGAAAGGCACAAGTTCATGATTCTCTACCGAATTGCAAATGTATACAGTACTACATCTGAAAGTAGGATGAATGTAAGGTGTACATTCTTTATCTCAAGCTCTATTCTCCGGGCCAATGGTTTCGTAAGGCAGGCGTACAGCCACCCTCGTCGTCGTCACCTATCTGCTCAAATGGCGGGAACGGTGCACCACACAGGGGTTGCCGCGGACGCAACACAACACACAACGGTGCACTGCTTTTCCCTGGTAGTTAGGAGGGCTGGCTAGGTGTACTTGTCCTTGTTGCTGCTTCAAGCACAGATACTAGATACAAGACTATTAGGCAGCTACAGTAATGCTGCCACGGATCGCAGCTACGTAACTTGGACCCCCTCCTGCGTCACGCGCCCAATTTCGTTGTGTTGAGATGTTCCTTAATATCTCGCGTCGCTGTGGGTGACGTCTGCTCGCTGTTTAGGAGAGTTCGTTGTAGCGGTCAAGGGATCGAGGCGCTTTAGGGTTTGTTGCAGACGAAAGTCGTGGCGTCGTGCCGTCCGTCGTTGTTTTTTTCCGGCGATCCGACGAAGCTTGTTAGGTTTCGCTTGCTGTATCAATAGGATTGCCTTCTTACTGGAGCTGTTTTAATGCAGCCACGAGAACCGTCTGATTCTTTCACATCAGCCGTCGGATCGACGCGTACGCGCTGCTGATGCCAGCGCTGATCGCTGCGAGGCCCATGGACGATCTGATGACGCAAGCTAGGGTACGTGATGACGTCAGCTGGGGTACGCGATCCAGCAGATGGCTATGACGACTGGTGATGCAGTGTGAGGTTTCTTGGCTGGTCATACAAAGACTCATGATTACCAGCAATACAGTAGAGCGAAGCGGCTAGATTGTTCCATTATTTGCAAAACCGGCTGTGTGATGCCTTCGCGTGAACCCGGCTCGTTTGTATTAATGGCGTCTGGTGCGCGTCCGGCTTATTTGTTTTTTTAAAGCGTCGTGCTTTTTGCGCGTGACATATGTTCCGTCTCTATGCTCCGCTGTAAGCAGCACGATTTGCAAAACTTGGCTGGTGGTAACCTTTGAGTGATAAGATATCCACGAATTTCTCGTACGCGCTTCGTGCTTCTTGTGCATTCTCGCGGAATCGCATCGATGTCGAAGGAGCATGGTCTGGTCGCAATGGCTGTCGCGTCGTGGCTACAGCATCATGGCATCGTGGCTGTAGCATCATGATGGTAGCATCATGGCATCATGGCTGTAGCATCATGATGGTAGCATAGTGACCGTGGTAGCATCGTGGCTTCATTCTCATTTCCCTCGCCCCAACTCTCCCTCCCTCATCCCTCCCTGCAGTCGCAGCTCGCCCCTGTACCCGACTGCAGGAGATCAAAGACGTGTTGGGCCATCTAGGCCTGTTTATTGAGGCGCCTTAAGGCCACAATAGACTTTACCAACTCTCTCCCTCTCCTCACCTCACCACAAATTGCTTTCTCCCTCATCCCTCTCTGCAGTCGCAGCTCTTGTGTTTCCGACTGAAGGAGCTTAAAGACGTGTTGGGTCATCTAGGTCTCTCAAAATCCGGCAAAAAGCAGGTCAGTTGCGCGCACACTGGCAGCTCTATAGCGCGGATAGTGGATGTCTATAGCGCGAATAGTTGAGGTCTTAGTGCAGTCAAAGCGGGCAGTTTGAGCAGCAACAGCTGCCGGTTAGGGAGGGGATGGGAAGGAAGTCGAAGGCGGTGTATGGTCTGCTATGCATGTACGGGGATGTGCTGTCGCTTCCTGACTTAAAACACCTCCTGGCAGTGACTGGTGTTGGGCTCAAGGTGGCAGCATTGGCTGCAGTGACAGCAGTGACAGCAGTAACAGCAGTAACAGCAGACACAGCAGTGACATCAGACACAGCAGTGACATCAGACACAGCAGTGACATCAGACACAGCAGTGACATCAGACACAGCAGTGACATCAGACACAGCAGTGACATCAGTGGCTGCAGTGACATCAGCAGCAGTGTAAGGAGAAAAGTTGACTAGTCAGTCTGCTTAGGGGAGTGTTGTATGGTCCTGACATAACTCACCTTCTTGCAGTGTGACCTGCTAAGGCGGTAAGCAGCACAGCAGTGTAAGAAGAAACTTGAGTAGGCAGTGGCTGCTGCGGGAATGCTGTTGGGTCCTGACATAACTCACCTTCTTGCAGTGTGACCTGCTAGTGGATCAAAAGGCAGCAAGCAAGCAGCACAGCATTGTAAGAAGCACGAGAAGGATGCGTTTTGTATGCGTTTTGCGTTTTGCAGCATTCGGTCCTGGCTGTGCTGTGCTGTGCTGTGCTGTGGCTGGCTGACATGATTCACCTTCTGGCAGTGCTTGGCGACCTGAACCTGAAGGGTGCTGCAGGGTGCACTGCAACAAGCCTTTCAGTAGCACCGTCCTCAGAATCAGTAGCTGCGTTTCAGAAGCATGTCTCACATGCCTCACATGCCGCACATGCCGCACATGCCTCACATACCTAACATGCCTCACAACATGCCTCACATGCCTTACATGCCTCGCATGCCCCACATCCATCACATGCCTCACATGCCGCACATGCATCACATGCCTCACATGCCTCCCATGCCTCGCATGCCCCACATGCCTCACATGCCTCACATGCCCCACATGCCTCACATGCCTCACATGCCTCGGATGGCTCACGATATGCCCCACATGCCCCACGACATGCCCCACATGCCCCACAACACATGGCACGGGGAACAGGTGCTAGTGGGTCGAATCGAAGCGCTCTTATCATCACCATCTGTCCCCTTCAACGGCCGTAAGTGCTCCTCCAGTGAACGACTTCAGAGGCGCCTCAAAGACCTCCTCCTTCCAACGGACGCAAGTTAGTTTCCTTCTTTAACAGCCATGATTGCATCTCCTTATCTCAACACAAGTGTATTGGTCTCGCCTTTCACTGCAAGAAACTGTCACGTGGCCGGCCCTAGCCGCCGGCTCATGCATTCCTTCTATTGGTCGGCCCTCCAATCGCGCACATGTCATCTCATGAAGTCTATCTCCTTCCGCTCATCTGCCCCTCTCCTTTCTCATCATCCTCTCTTATCTCCCTCTACTCCCAGACCCATGCTCATCATCATGAGGCTCTAACGTGCATCCGTCTCCCTCCGCTCATCCCACCGGGTCTATCCCCTCCCCGCATCTTTCCTTCCTTCCCCTTCCCCCCTTCCGTCCTTCCTGTCGTACCCCGTCCGTGTCCTCCTTGCAGGCGTGCCCACCATCACTCCCACGCAAGTAGCCGAGTTCATTCAGGACACATACAGGTAGAGCGGCGTAGAGTGGTGTGTGCGGGAGGTACGTGTGAGGGGGAGGTGCGCGTGAGTGAGTGTGAGAGTAGCCCACCATCACTCCCACACAAGTAGCTGCGTTCATTCAGGACACGTACAGCTAGAGCGGCGTAGAGTGGTGTGTGCGGGAGGTACATGTGCGGGAGGTGCGCGTGAGTGAGAGACGTACAGGTAGAGTGGCGTGTGAGAGACTTAAATGTCAGGAGGTGCATGTGGGGGAGGGAGGGAGGTGCATGTGGGGGAGGGAGGGAGGGAGGTGCATGTGGGGGAGGGAGGGAGGTGCATGTGGGGGAGGGAGGGAGGTGCATGCAGGGGAGGGAGGGAGGTGCATGCGGGGGAGGGAGGGAGGTGCATGCGGGGGAGGGAGGGAGGTGCATGCGGGGGAGGGAGGGAGGTGCATGCGGGGGAGGGAGGGAGGTGCATGCGGGGGAGGGAGGGAGGTGCATGCCGGGGAGGGAGGGAGGTGCATGTGGGGGAGGGAGGGAGGTGCATGCGGGGGAGGGAGGGAGGTGCATGCGGGTAGACATGTGCACTGAGTCGAGTTTCTCGACTCGACTCGATCGGGGGACTCGACACGGGTCGAGTGTCGAGTCTGCGAATCCTCTGAAAAAACTCGACCGAGTCGAGTCGAGTTTTACCCGTCGAAGGGTTTGGCGTGGAAGGGAGAGAGGTGTGTTTAAGTGGGGTGCAAGTGAGGGAGTGGCGCGCGTGTGAGAGAGTTGCATGTGAGGTGGACAGATGCGGCTCCTGCTTATGCACCCCCACTCCCCTTCCGTTCTCATTTCCCATCTTATCCACTTGCAGGTCATTGGGAAGCACTAGGCACAAGGACATATGCCTCTCATCTCACCTCCCCAGTGAAGTCTCAGAGGAGGCGTTGTTTCGTTCCTCCCATCATACCATCCCCCATCCTCCCATGCTTGTGCCATTCCCATCTTATCCCCTTGCAGTTTGTTGCGAAGCACTAGCAAGATAGTTGCTGGAGTGGGGTTAGCGAAAGATCATGGTGCGGGATTGAGTCGTGGTGTTGATATGCATTGGGTTACCCTGTGTCGAACATGCATTAGCCGTTCGACACTGGCTATACAAAATAATTACTCGACACTTATTCGTTTTCAATTTGGATTCGGTAGTATTCGAATCATATTCGTATTCGGTTTTGGGTCAGTATTCGAATCGTATTCGTATTCGGTTTTGGGTCAGTATTCGGTCAAATAAGAAACCACCCAGTATTCGGAGAATATACGGGAAAAATATTCGTATTCGTATTCGTTTGTACAGGCTTAAGGAGGCGAGAGGAGATGCCTTGTTTCGTTACTCCCTTCCTTCTGCAGCCACTCTTCAGGTCTCCCCAGTGCAGTCTCATAGGAAGCGAGAGGAGATGCTTTGTTTTTTCCCTCCCTTTACACCGTTCCCCCCATCCTCACATGCTCATGCCTTGGAACCCCTTTCAGGTCTCTGCAAAACACGGGGCAGGGCGGCACGCCCGTCACCTTTCCAGTGCAGCCGCAGCGGAGGGGAAAGTGGAGGCCTTGCGTTCCTCCCATCATTCTGTCCCCGTCCATCCCCCATCCTCCCATGCTCATGCCGTGGAACCCCTTGCAGGTCGCTGCGAAGCACTGGGCAGCAGGTGGACACACCAGTCGCCTCCCCAGTGCAGCCACAGAGGAGACGCGAGGAGAGGGCGGATAGGGTTGAGGGGGAGGGCGTGGAGAGGGGGGACGGAGGAGCAGAAGCAGCTGTGAGGGCAGACACAGGTGCTAGGGTAGAGACAGTTGGTAGGGCAGAGGCGAGAGCAGGGGAAGAGGGGAATATGGCTCCTGATGGAGGCTTTGCTTCCCCGCAGCAGCAGCAGCCGCAGCAGCACCACCACAACCAACAGCAGCACCAGCAGCAGCAGCAAAGTAGACATGCGCATGGGCATGGGCATGGGCACGGGCATGGGTCGTCGAGGGGAGTAAAGACCGAGCAAGGGGGGGGAGGGAGGTCTAGTAAGAGGGCGTTGGGAAGGGGGGATGTGTACGGGCAGCAGCAGCAGCAGCAGCAGCAGCAGCAGGCGGAGGTGATTCGGTGTGTTTGCTTACGGAACTTTGACAACGGGAAGACCATGATCCAGGTGGGTGGATGGTGCGTGAGTGTGGGGTTATAGAGAGACATTTCAAGGGGTGAATGTGTACGGGCAGCAGCAGCAGGTGCAAGTGCAGGTGGAGGTGATTCGGTGTGTTTGCTTACGGAACTTTGACAAACAGGAAGACTATGATCCAGGTGGGTAGACTGAGGATGTTCTGTGGTGGTGGGACGCGCCTGTATATAAACATTTCAAAAGTGGAGGTAGGTGGTGTGTTCATGTCTATAACGCCTCTGTCCCCTCTTGCCCTTACCTTTCCCTTTCCCCCCACCACTTCCCACCCTTCCAGTGCGAGTGCCAGGGCTGTGCTGTGTGGCAGCATGTGAAGTGTGTGATTCTCCCAGAGAACCCTCCTCTGACCTCCCTTTACCCCCTCCCCCTCTCCCCACCCCATTTCTCCCCTTCCTCCTTACCATATCACATCACTTCCCTCCTTCCTCCTAACCAAGTGCGAGGGTTAGGGCTGTGGCGTGTGGCAGCATGTGAAATCCGCCATTCTGCCAGAGAACCTGCTTCTCACGCTCATCATGCCCCTTCCTTAACCCCTCTTGCTTCCCATTCCCTCATGCCCATTCCCCCCGTCTTCCTCACCCAGTGCGAGGGCCATGGCTGTGGCGTGTGGCAGCATGTGAAATGCGTGATTTTGCCAGAGAAACCCCCTACACCTTCTTACTGCCAATGCATTCTTGCTTTCGCTCATCCATCGACCCCCTGCCGTTTCCAGTGCGAGGGCCATGGCTGTGGTGTGTGGCAGCATGTGAAATGCGTCATTCTGCCAGAAAACCCGCCTCTCACAGGGGATTCCTCAGCAGCGCCCCAGCCTGATCCGCCCCTCCCGGAACACCACTACTGCGAGCTCTGCCGCATGGCCCGAGGAGATCCGTAAGTGTGGTGTGGGTTACAAATATCTCATGATGACCTTCAGATTTGTCAAGGGTCACAGCCTCACCACACTCCCCTCCGGAACACCACTACTGCCAGCTCTGCTGCATGGCCAGAGGAGTTCCGTAAGTGCAAATCTTATCTGAGTCGTGGGTTAGAAACACATCAGGATGGCGTTCAGAGGCTGCTAAGTGTCAGGGAAGGGGGACATATAAGTGTGTGACTTTTAGCTAAACTACTGCAGAGGATGGAGCCTTGTAAGTGTCACATATCCCTTGTCTCTGCCACGTGGTTGCCCTGCCCTTATTACGTGGTTGCAGTGCCATATGTTGTCTTAGAAGTTGCTCTCATGCCTGCCTGCCATGCCATCCCATGTCTATAGGGCGCACACACACACGCACGCACGCACGCAAGTTTCCCGCCGTTTGACTGCCAGGCCATGTGCATGTATGTCATGTGCATGTATGTGCCTATCCTAAGAGAAGACAGGGCGTCCCGCTGTCCATCTTCCCCCATATTTTTTTTCTTTGTCTTCTTTCCCCACCCACTCCCTTTTGTTGTTGTTTTTTTCCTCTTTGTGCTTCTGGTCTGCCCGATATCAGATTTTCTGTCCCTGTGGCTAATCCAATGCCACCAACTGCACTCATTCGCCTGCCCGGGGACAAGTAAGTGTGCTGAAGGTGCTTGGAAAGTGAGTGTCTTACAAAGCTGATACACTACGTGAGGTATTGTGAGGTTCGAGGTTGAACATTGATGAGATAGTCTGAGTTTCAAGACAGCCATAAGGCTAAACCCGTGATACGGTGTTACCACTGTTGCGAGAAACATCGGGAGGAGAAGCAGTGGTATCAAATCATGTCATATTGTGGCCAGGCCCTTCTTGCTTGCCTCCCTTCCTCTTTCCACACCTCCCTTCTGGCTCCTTTTCTCCATGCCCCACAATCAGGTGCTGCAGCATCTGAAGCACACATTCACTCTCATGTTTATTCCCTTCGTCCCTTCCCCTATCCCTCACTCCCCTCCTCCTCATTCTTCAATTTCACCTTCTCCCGACGGCAACCATTTGCTGCAGCGCCTAGAGCACACATTCACTCTCATGTTCACTCCTCCCTCCCCGCGCTTTCCCCCTTCCTCAATTTCAGCTTCTTCCCGCCCATCTTGACCAGTTGCTGCGGCATCTAGAGCACATATTCACTCTCATGTTCACTTCACTCCTCCCCTCCCCTCGTTCCCATGCTCCTCAATCTCGCCTTCTCCCCCACAGCAACCAGGTGCTGCAGCGTTTGGAGCATAATTTCACCCTCACCCCACACAACTTCTCTCTGCTCAGACGCCCACCCTGCACCTTCTCTCTCACTCTCACCCTCACCTTCATGTGCTCTCTCACATTCACTCCTGCCCCGGTACTGCAATCTCACTCACATGATCCCCGCAGCAGCTTTTAGAGCACAATTTCACTCTCACATTCACTCCTGCCCCTCTTCTGCAATCTCGCCTGCTCCCCCGCAGCAACCAGGTGCTGCAGCGACTGGAGCACAACTTCACGCTCACCCCACACGACCTCTCTCTCCTCAGACGCCCACACCACTACCTGCAGGTGAGAAGGCCGCACAGGTGAGTCAGATTAGCAGCTGAAACCAGAAGGGTGCATGCAGGTACACCATGCTTCAAGTGCTGCAGCAACTGGAGCACAATTTCACGCTCACCCCGCACGACCTCTTAACGCTCAGATGCCCGCACCACTACCTGCAGGTAGGCATGAGCAGGGGGCGAACTCAAACATGTTCGTGTTCGCCCCCTGACGAACATGGCCTTCTGCCGAACCGAACAGTGTTCGGTTCGGCGAACGACTTGAGTGAAAATAGGTGTTCGCCGTTCGCCCTAGGAGCGAACGAATTGCTGCAACAGGCGAACATGTTCGTGTTCGCCCAGGGGGAAATTCAATATAGAGTAAAATTCAAATCGTCGCACATTCTCTCCCCCCACCTCCCAAGCCAGTCCCGCCCTGTTTCATCCATCTAGTGCCAGCGTGCAACGGCGAAATGCTAGATCCGCACTTAAGCAGCGGCGAAATGCTAGATCCGCACTTAAGCAACGGCGAAATGCTAGATCTGCACTTAAGCAACGGCGAAATGCTCGATCCGCACTTAAGCAACGGCGAAATGCTAGATCCGCACTTAAGCAACGGTGAAATGCTCGATCCGCACTTAAGCAACGGCGAAATGCTCGATCCGCACTTAAACAACGGCGAAATGCTCGATCCGCACTTAAGCAATGGCAAAATGCTAGATCTGCACTTTACTAACTGCGAAAGGCCAGATCTGAGCCCAAACACCAAGGCCCGCGACCTAAAAATTGGTCGCGGGCCTATTTGTCGACGAACACATTGGTGTTTGTCGAAGGCCCGTGTCGAACACGAACACGTTCGTGTTCGACACGCCTCGGCGAGCTGAGCCGGGCGAACGGCGAACGTGTTCGGGCGAACACCGAACACGTTCGCCCCGAACAATTTAGGCC